AAGGTAAATACATAGCAGCAAATAAAAACAATTCTAAGAAGCAGAACATTATATTTTTTAAACATTTTGATAATTAAAAAAAAACAATTTTTTTCAAGCTTTAGCATTTGTAAGCTCGGGTGAATAATGTAGCAGAGAACTGATTTAAGAAGATAAAATGAGCCCAAAAATGTAAGAGCCATATTACTCACGGGAACAAAATAGCAAAATGGTCTACAAGGTCTCCATTATGACAATGAATATGAGAGAACTTTCAGCTTACATTTACTGAAAGTTAGCACCTATTAAGATTTCCAGCGTTCCTGGGGTGCAAGCTCTGCTGTTTGAAAGCTGAGGCCCTTGTCAGGACTGGTTCTTCAGGGGCCTGAGCCCCCTCAGAGCCTTCCTCAACACTGCTCTTCCTCAGGGGCCTTCAGTGGACAAGCTACGGGTGAGTGGGGTAAAAAAAGCCTCTGGAGAGCCACCCCCAAATATTCCCTTACATCCTATTGCCTCCCCCTCTGAACTGTACAGCCTCCTGCACACCAGAAACATTTCTGTGAGCTTAGTGCTATAACTACTGTGAAAAGAAACACAACAACAGAACTCATTAAAAAATACCCACAGAGGAAGGAAAAAAAATTCCTCAGCACAGTAGCGTCTGTCTCCAGCAAACAGGGCTCTTTTCAGGCCTTGGGCTCAGACATAAGACCACTCTACCAGGGTGAATGAATTACTGTCAGCTGGGCCGCTTGCACTTAGGTTTAAGCACAGGCATTTTACCTGCCATTTGCCAGGAGCCAAGAGCTGCTCAGGTGACATTTGTTATCCATGTGCCACATGAGCAGCAAACCTGCAGCAGTTTCCCCAGCAGCAATCACCCACCCCATGGGTCACACTGCAGGTCCCCAGCCTTCACCCCCACAAGGAACATCTCTCAGAGCCAAGAACCTGTGCCTAAATGAAGCAATGCTTATCTCATGCATGCCACAGGTGTGATGTCATCCCCTCTGGCAGAGGAACCAGGATGTCTACAGCCTCCACTCCACAAAAATGCAGGAACTAAAGTTAACATGTCTCAGACTTTGTTAAAATATGGTGATAATTAAAAAACAAAATTACCACTACAAAGTTAATTCCTCTCTGAGTTCTTACAAACTAGTTTTTAATTTGCACAAAAAATTTAAATTTCAGATTTCAACTCAACCAGGAATGGTACAAGCTTGGTCAGGGACTCCAGGCAGTGGTGGTGGGTTCTGCAAGGCCTAGGGGCAGGGACACTGTGGCTTCCCCAGAATATCACAAGCATATAGTTGCCAGCAAAGCCCAGGTACACACAGGTAAGCCCATCGGATTGGTTTAATCTCTCATCCCTTCTATGAGTGTGAAAATAATCACAGTGTCAGATAAACTTCTGCTTTTTATTAAAAAAAACCCAAACAAAACAAACCAAACCTATAAGGTAATTGATTGCTTTCTTCCAGTCTTTTATCAGTTATGATTAAGGAGCTATAGTAGCCCTGTTTACACAGCTCTAACAAGCCAGGACCTGCAGAACGTTATTGGCTTGGGGCCCACAACTTGCTGTCCATTCTCAACAGAATCAATCTGGAGCTGAAAACATCCCCGTAGGAAGTGTACACATCCCTGCTTATACAGGAACAGAAACAGCAATAACTTCAGGTCCTGTAAGCTGCAAGTTCAACTCACAGAGATGAGCCCTGACTTGTCATCGCTCTCAGCATGCTGGTGATGAGATCAGAGCACTTCAGCAAGGACTCATACTCCAGCTTGACAAGGGACAGAGGTGAGTGTACTACACCTCACTGTTACTGCCTCTCCTGCAGAAAGGAATCCAGAGCTCCTCTGTTTAACATGCAGTCACAGCACTGCCAATCTAAAATGGCTGATCAGTAATACTTTAATTGCAGTTTCATAGAAACAAAATGCTATTTAATTGCAATAAGCTTGTCTGTGGCTTAGCTGGACTGACAATAGGCATACACCTGGTAGTAACAGTAACAAGCAGCAAGGAGGGTTATCTGGTACTGCATGTACAGGAGTTTCAGGCAGTGCCATCAAACCCAGAACACAATTTCACACTGATTAAATTTAATACCTGAAAAAAATGTATATACATAAATTTCCTAATCTCAATTTGATTTTTTTTATTTTAATGGAGCTGTTCAGAATAGATACTTGCAAAAAGCTGCACACTTCACATACAACTATCAGCAAAATACTTTGATAAAAGATTTAAATTGAAACGATCTTTTGAAATCACAGAATCAGGTTGGAAAAGACTTCTGAGATCAGAGTTAAACTGGACACCACTGTGTCAGCCAGACTGTGGCACCCAGTGCCATGTCCAGTCCTTCCTCAAACCCCTCCAGGAGCAGTGACTCCACTGCCCTGATAGCAAGGCACACTCTGCCACTGTGTGAGTTTGGGGGCTTTTTAGTATTTACCCTAATGTTAGGTGATGCAAATTTTATCAGTGCTAACTAACAGCAAAAAAGGAAGACAAACTCAGTGTGGTTAATATTCTGAAGATGTGACTTAATTTCATAGGCTTCATTTTGTTAAGACATTCTCATTTTATATTTCATAAGATACTGCATAACCTGTTAAAATATTTAAAGATAAATCATGTAGGACTGAAAAGACAGTATCTTGTTGCAAACAGAATTTGGTTTGGAAAGGCTTAATGTCCCACTGCCTGCCAGGATGCGTAAATCTCATAACTAGACAGCTGGATAGGTAAAAACATTAAACCCATTTAGAGGGCAATCTTTTTACAAAATTGTTTCATTAATAAGAGTGACAATTTATATGATTGAGATGTTTAGATGCAGTATAGACAGTGCATTTTATCTAGGTTCATGAGGATGATTTCAGATTAGTAATATTTCCTTTGATTCTTTTTTTAACAGCATTCATTTTTGAAAGGGAAGCTCTTACTGAATGATTATTTGACTTTTCAGCAGCACTAAATGCAGAGGGTGTATTTCAGCCTCAGTGCAGCAAATGCATGTGACAAAAGGTGAACAAGTATGTGTTTTTCTTCACAGATCTCCTTAAAAAAAGTGATTTTTCACATAAGGACAAATCTAAGTGTTTCCAGTAGTCTCCTGCCCACACCTACTGTCCCCATTACAGCCTGTTTCATTGTGTGAAATGCCTCTGGTTCAAGAAAGTGTTTTACCTAAAGCAAGAATACTACTTAAATATCTTCTATTGTATATTCATAGCTCCATTAGTCCTCCTGCAATTTAGCACATCAAAGCAAAGGCTTCATCACTTGCATGTGGATTATGCTAACATGAGTGACATTTGTAATCTTATAGGTCTGCAACTTAAGAAATGCTTTTAAAGTAAGCTATTAAATAGGTAGCTGTGCTTTACAAATGAGTCATATAATAGTTTATTTAAAGCTGTTAATGAACTTCAACCTCTACATCACTAAATGCTATACTACATTTCTTACTAGAAGTTATTAGCTATCTTCTTAGCACTTCTAGGTTATATTGGACAACCAAAAATCTGTACATGTTAGATTTAAACACTGTACCTTGAGTGCTTATACTGAAAGAATATAAAAAGATGTCTACAGTCTCACTAATACTTGAATTCTATATTCATATGACTTCAAGTGTCTTTTCAAAGATACTGAAGCAGCACAATTTGCAGACTCTGAAGACTTTAATGCCAGATCAAAAAGCTTAGAAACTTATTTAAAATACCCACAAGTGCATTTAATTAAAAGTCATACATAGTGTCAGTCATTTATGTTATGCAAGAAGACTTTTGTCTTTACTGTCTGATACTGTACGTTGCTACGTTTTCTTTTCTCTGAAATGGGGCTTCCTCAAGCACTGACGTGTTAAAAAAATTCAGCAGCCCTCCAGTATACTAGATATCATGAAGTAGAATCTGAAACAAAAATATCTGCTGTTGGTTGTTTAAACAGATAAATCTATAAATCAGCTTTTTGTGTTATTGGCATCACAAAAAAAAAAATAAGCTTACTCCATAACCAAGCAGCTGAGCAGTGAACACATTCTAAAAAACAGAATTAAACTAAATAATGGTGCATTATGAATGTATTAGTTTCCCATAAAAGTAGAGTATTTCTTAATATTGATTTGCTTTAAATTGCAGCAAAGGCATCTTTGTTGCTTGCAGGTTCCTGACTGAAGGCATACAGTGGACAGCCACAGATCCATGTTAGTATTCTTGCTAAAAACATGAACAGTCAGATTTTTTTTCTCAAAAGTATTCTGCACAGATCTACCACTAAACAGCTGATGGGAAAAACATGCAAAATAAAGTTGTTCCCTTTGTAAGCTTAGAGGTGGCTCTGCTGCATTGTGGGGAGGTGGTTTTTGTTTGTTTGCTTTCAGAAAACAGATCATATTTTGAGATCGGCTAGTTCTCAGAAACAGCCCAGGAAACAGGTTTTTCTTTCCTTAAGATTATCAGTGTTGAAAAGTTAAAGTCTCTCACCCCAGCAAACATAAAGTTCTGTTGTTCAGATCAGAATAGCTATTGTATTCCTTTTCATGAATAGTCAATTCTAGTGCTCAGCATGAGGCACAGACCTTTCGTTGGCTTTTATTTTTTTGACCTCTTATGGCATACTCATACCCTCTTATGCTTGCATGCTCAGAGACACAGGCACATCCTTAAAACAGAAGGAACTGGAAAGAAAGAGACCACAGTACCTCTGTGTGTGCTGTAATTCACTGCAATGGAATTCTAATGTACTTCTTGATACCAGAATTAAGAATCTCCATGAAAAAAAATATAATTCTGAAGTAGTACTCGTTATCCTTGCCACAAGTAACACGGTCAAGTGGTTTAGCAGAGTATTTCTTGGCATAAGACAAAAGAAAAAAATCCAAACCAAAAACCTGCTTTTAAAGGTAATTGACAATTCAGGTAACAACTACATAAGATGAAGTTGCAGAATGTTTTGAATGTAATTTTTTTTTAAAAAGCAAAGCTTCTAAAACCCATACTTGGTTTTGTTTTACTTTTTATTATTTAAATACACCATACTAGAGCAAATGTCTCTGAAAATATCACAAATAAAAGATTTTTCTTCATTCAGCAAATTAGAAGTAGGTGAAAATTTCTACACAGTAGCTGCTATGAGCCTGACTTTTTTTTTCTTTTTTTTTTCTTTTTTTTGCCATGGGAAGTAGCAACATTAGGACAAAAACACTTACATGCATACATACATTGTATTTTACAGAGATACAATAAAAGTGTTTGTGATAGAATATCACAAAAGCCACATCTTTATCTCATGTTCAGTTTGATTGAAACACATTTCCTTACAACACTTAAATATACAAAGAGCAAATAGAATGTTGTTAAGGTAAAACACAGGGTACAAACTGGCCAGTGCCCTGCTAATTGTTAATGAGGGTAGAAAGCAGATTTCAATGCTTCTTTTAATTAGCTTCATTAGTCATCTTCCCCACCCGCCCCCCCCAAGATGTCCTCAGGTGGATCTTTTTTCATTTTCTCTACAGTCTCCCATTAGCCCAGGTTCATGGAGTCCTTAATGTTCATATTCAGTCATTTTAATACACCAATAAATGTGGGAAGGGCAATCAAGAATAAAGAAGGTGCAATGGTATGGAGCTGGCATTGATGCTAGCTACAAAGGTGACTTGTCTACTTGGAGACATGGGATCCATCTGTGATGAACAAAATTTGAGATGAAGGCACGCATTCTGCATTACTCTGACCTTTTAGCAGACCTGTAAGAAATAAAAATGGGTATCTTAGCTAAATTTGAGATAGGAAACTACAACATGACTGCTTTTGTTTTTCCCTATTCACTAATCTCTTTTTTATTAGACCACTTTTTAACTGTGACTTAAGGCTTTCTACGCTGCCCATTCATACCGCTAACGTTTCAACTTTAAACAGCAAAAAGCAAACATTTGTCACAGTTTCACTACTAAAGAAAGCAGAAATGAAAAAAAGACTACAACAAGAAATGTGTACTTTCTGTTAACAAATCATACAGTGAATAAGGTGGTTTTTCTGGGCCCCGTTTGAAAGGGAAGAACCATTATGCCATGCCTTTGAAGAAGCGAGTAATATGATCTTGTAATTGGAAGAAATAGTGTGTAAAGCAAATATGAAGTACAGCCAATATCCTCCCAAGGCAACTTTGGTTAATATGCTGCATTGCACAAGAGCTAAATATAGATATTTCAGGATTCCCCCCTCCCATTTAAATTCCTCATCTGGTACGTTAGTTAATGTTACATAAACATTTTAATATATGAAGTCAAACATGTGCTTTCATACTGGTGTTAATGAATTGTGATAATTAAAAGTGTCTAACTCAATAAAAATCTAAACTTTTGTGGATAAAATAGGAATGATCATCCATAGTCTTCAAATACAATCTGTTTGCAATTACCAAAATGAAATAATATATATTAGATTTTTATGGCTTTTAAATGACATTTTGCGCTTCCCAGGAAGTTCTTTTCTCACCCTTTCTCTAAGTTACTAAAAGCCTGAGGTCTATTAGTAACTGCAACCCCCCACTTTCAAGCTAATTAAAGTAGTAGAAGCTTGGAGGTTTAATTCCCCAGAGCCGAAGCTCAGTGTGAGAAAGGTAATTTGTCTGTCCAGAACAAAGATTAGGGAGCAGCCAGCAAGCATATTTAATAAATGAGCATCAAATATCTTCTACTATGGACACAGACAACACCAATTATGTAACTACAAGGGAATTGCTGAGTGATATGTAAACTAGAAGATTTTTAAGATCTTCTCTAAGAGATGTAATGTAACTCATACTTTATTTAAAAGCATAGAAGCTGAAGACAAACATTTGTTACAAACACTGCCAACCAGTGGGAAATGTACACTTTCAGTAGGTGGTAATACTGTTGCAAACAAGGAATACTACAGGAATACTACCAGTACAAAAAAAGCAGAGAGAATTCTTGACAATACAGCCCCTTCAAATGAAATGGCACACAGGACGTCACAAACTAAGTCTGCACTCAGCAAGCAACAGTACTGAGTTTAGAGAAAACAGGGTTTTTTAAACTACAGGGCAAGTGATGGGAAGTTATAATTTACATGTGTGAATTGCCTCAGGGAGGCAAAAGGCAGGAATGGCAAACATCCCTGCGTTTGTCTCCTTAAAAAAAAAAAAAAAACCAAGTTTTTAAACCAAGTTAGGCCATGCAACCTTTCCTGCCTGCACTGGTCACCTGTAAACTGCAGTGAGAAAAGAGTAAGTTCATCACTCACCTTCAATGCATAACAAAAATGTGTTTTAATGCTGGGAGTGTCTCAATCTCTTTGGTTAAATTAAAAAAAAAACAAACCTGTGCATATTATGCTATCTCTGTAATCTCTAGTGATAGAATAACATGGAAAAGGATTGATCTGTAATGCTTAATAAAAAGTATCTGTTACAGCCAACTGTGTTACAGTGGAAAAATATTTTTAATTAGTGTCCCTAAAACATGCAGCTTCCTGTAAAACATCTCTGATGTTAAAATCTTTAGATTATTAAAAAGGAAAAATATAAAATTATTAAAAATTATAAAATATAAGAAAATAGATTATAAAATATAACTCTCTTAGCAACTGGCCCTGCAGCTTCCAAAGTTCCAGAAACCTGACAAATACATGAACTATCAATTTGTCTCTTTAACTGGGTTTGTTTTCTGGAGTTACGGTGCTCTGCAATTCCCTTTGAAAAACAGTAGGAGAAGTAAGAACAATTTCTAGAGATATTGTACTACAGAGGAAAAAGCCTCAAGCTCGTGTCCCCTGCACCTTCTCCCCAGCAGCTGCTCGTGTGCCTCAGCCTGGCTGCAGCAGTGCCCCTGCCAGGCAGTGCCAGGGGCTGACAAAGCCCTGCCCTCACCAGGTACCTGCAGCCACCAGCTCTGCAAGCCCAGTCCCTTTTCCTTCTCTTTGCCATGTTCTGTGTTCCTCATCATGTCTGCTGCTTTTATTGCAGCTAAATCATTTTTATGTTTTGCTAAGGCAGAGAAAGAAACTGATAAAACTAAATGACAATTTAGACACCTATTTGAAGTTACATTAAACTTTACATTCATAGAAGACAAGTGGATAAACCACTCTCAGAATGGTAAACCTTTTACTGCAGTGTATAAAGATGAATGGTTTTACCTATATTTTGAAATGGGATACCTATAAATATTCATTTAACAGAATCACTGCTAGCTAGTCTATATTACAGATTTGTTTCATTAAAATTCACAACAGTATAAATCTATGAATCTTTAACTGTATTTGTACTTCCTTGAGAAGAGGCTGCACATTCTCTTCCAATCTTAATTATCTTTGTTCTGCCTAACTATGTAGCATTTTTGTACTCAATTCTCTCATCACCTCGATTGACAAATTAAGTAAATAAAAAAGGTCCATGCTTTATTTTGATGTAATTACATTCACCGTATAAGACTTAAAAGAATACTTAAAATTAATCAGTAAATTTATGCACAGAAAAAAAAAAAAGGCAAACACAGATATTGAAATGTAGCAACACAACCAAAAAAAAAAAAAAAAGTAAAATAAAGAACGGTTTCTGTTTTCTCGGACATATTTCTCCACGGACTAAAAGCACTCCAAAATGCACTGCACACTACAGAATAGATCAGCCTAGCATTTGTCCCAGATTTTTTTTAATCTTTCGAATTTCTACTTGCAGATAAATGTTATTTTTTGTGATCCTTACAGACATTAATGAAGTTCCTATTGTAAATCTATAAAGAATTACCAACTGAAGTGTGCACTTTTTGTTTCATTGCAATAACTCAGTGCTGTGTGATTGCCTGGGTTAATGATGAAAAAGTCAAATATACTATCAGAGCTGATGGAAAAATCTATCACCAATCTGAAATTAAAATTCATCTGTGGTCAATAAGATTTAATATCCATGCAAGTGGCGCTGTAAAGAGTAAATGAATCAATGTCATCAATACATAATCAGTATGAAATATGATGTGAATAAAATTATGTGCAAGAGTCATACATCCACTCTTTTCTGGACCAGGGTGGAATGAACAGTCTCTTAACTCAAGGTTGACAGTAATTGTTACAAATTAGGCACAGCAGTTATCAAAATGCACTCACTTGCATAGCTTTAGGACTGATTAAGAAGATTAAAACACATCTAAAACTATCTAGTTTCAGAGTTACAAGACAACTGTTGATCAGAAATTTTTTTTTTCCTCTTCACTCTACGACCTGTGCAATGATCATTTACTCATTTAGCTAGAAACCAAAACTATGAACCACAGAGATACACAACCTCTAGCTGAGATATCAGTGTTACGGAACAGTAAGTAAACAGCACTTTGGTTTTAGAATCTGAGTTATGACATGCAAAACAGGCAAGAAAATACTTCTGAAAGAGTACCCCAGCATCCTTCCTCAACTAAAATCTTAATATTAAAATAAAATACATTAGCTTAGTCCAGGAACTTTCTCTTCACAAGGAATTTATTTCCATATTAAAGGATCTAATTTTCCTCCCTCAGAAACCTGCTCTCTTGTAGCATTTAATTTCAGGATTATAAAATAAAATATTACTTCTCTTTCTTAAAAGTCTGTATTAATATATGCTCTCCATTTTGCTTTGTACATAAGGAGTTCAACACCTGTACAGATGCACGTGCCCAAACCAAAATAAACTGACTCACCCTGTATGTCATATTTAAAAGGTTAATATTTTCTCCCCCAAACCCTGTGCCTAAATAACTTAAGGTAAGTTCAGCTACTTAAAGGTCTCTTTGCAGGGGCAGGGAATGTCCACTATTAGAATGAAAAGAAATTGATCTTCATTTAGCTCTAAGAAAGCTTATTAGTAATTGTGGAGTATTCACCTTCTGGTCTGGCAGTAGTGGATTACTCTGAAGTGAATTCAAATGGCCATTGATGAGAGCTGTAGGTCTATCATGTTCACAAAATAAACTGCCATTGATGTAGTGAAACCGATCTCCGGGGACCAGGCGATTCCGGCAGGTAGAGCATGTAAAACACTGGCAAAGGAGAGAGACAGCAAGTGAAACTACAGCACAAATTAAGTATGCTGCAGGTTTGAAAATTACACTTCAGAGACTGCAAGTGCAGTTGAGATATGGAGCTGCTTGGTTTCTAGTATCTCCAAATATGGCATTAGTCTTACCTGTTGGGACTACGCAGTACATAACTCAAGCAGAGTTTTAGCGATTACGAGGGAACAAAGCTACGCACTAAGCAAAGCTTTATAACAGATACTCCTTGTGGTTATTATTTTGCATTTCATTCATAAGCAGATGCAGGTTCTACACTAAAGGGGCATGGAAACACTAATCAGCTGCTAAAAACGAAAGTACACAGAAAAAAACCCCTCACCTTAAGATGATAGACATTGCCCTGTGCCCTCATGACCAGCTCACTAGCAGGAATGGACTGTCCACAGGCACTGCAAGCACCACTATTTCCAAATAACCTGAAACAGAGGTGATGATCATGAATAATTTAATACACAGAAGGCTCTAGGCATTTTTGCACATCATTGCCATGGTTTATTACACAACTATTTCGGACTTCTGACCCCCGTCTTCCAACTTGCTTATATTTCATAATACAAAAAAGTTTATTTTTGTGTAACAACTGGTAGCTTCACCTTACCTTGGATGTGGTTACACAGGATTTAATCAGAAATATTGACTTACACCTCTAGAAACACAAACAATTCTGTACTACACACATTTTATCAGATTACTGGGTTCATCATAAAAAAAAGAGATACAATTCATGACTGGAGTTTAAATGCATTGTGTCCTTGAAATTATATGAAGAACTCTTTTGTACTTTAATCATATCTTGAGATATGAGTCATCAAAAGGGTTAAGAGGATTTGATTGTATATCTAAGAAGACATCATGCTCAGTGTATTGAAACTCCAGTAAACCTCCATCAGTGCAGAGTTTCCATTAGAAACTCTCTGCTATCCAGGTTGATATATAATGTGTATGGGTTAACCTTTTCAATCATGGTGTCAACACTTTAGATTTGCCTCTGCTCATCTCTTTCATCCTAACCTTCTCTCTCTCTTGATAATGAAATGCTTGCTCCAACTTCCCTCTATCTGCTCCTGAGTCCACAATTTAGATTACTTCATCTCTGCTAGCAACAAACTGAATGAAATTTCGATTTGAGCAGAAAGTAATTTACCGGGATCTGGACCCATTTGTCATCATATCTCTCTGGGTGTTTGCTGTATCACTGCAGTTTTCCTATGCAATCAAATGAGACCACAACATCTGCCATTGGGGGGGGGCACACGCAGTGGGGGGAGGGGGGAACAGGCAGAAGAGTGGTGGAGAAAAATATATACATAATTCTCCAAATCTATTTAAAGGCACAATGCATCGATTCAAAATATAATACAGTAATGATTATTGAGTTCTACTTTTACAGGCTGCCTTAGCTAGAATTAGAAAAACCTTTATTTGCTTTTGCGCGAGCCTCTAATAGACACAAATATTTATAAAGACTACCACAATTCATTTTGCAGCAAAAAAGGAAATTGAACTAGCTGGCAGGGTCACAGACCCACTTTTCTGTACGATGTAAAACACAGCAATAGGATTTACAAATTAGCGTATTGGTGTCATAATAAATATTAATATTTGCATCTCCTTCCTGTCCAAATAAAGTCATAAAATTCTGTTTGTGTCAACCTAGGACACACATTACAACAGAATACCCGTAATCTGAATGATTGCAGTGTGCCTCTGTATAAAAATAATTGCTTTGAATTTTCAGAATCTGAGCTTGCAGAGGAGGCTTGTCATGTTCAAACTACTAATTTGCTGTCGCCACTTTATTGAAAATAGCCTGTAAGTTGTTATTAAATGTATCGACTGAACGACAGAGAGAGTAGTAAAACTGCCCCTTAAGATGGCTTTTAATAGGAAGCTGAGAAACAAATTTTGCAGCAGCATCGATTTGAAGAGTTCAATCAAAACTCCATTTCAAAACTAATTAGTCTGAGATCCACGACACATTGACACGTTCTTGCAGAATCACAGCGGTTACAAAGGGAAAGCTGAACTAATACATTGTCAGGACCTCCCCGCCAAAGGGACTAAACTGTCTGGAAACTAAAGGTCCATGATTAGGGCATCTTCCAAACCAGGACCAGTTCAGAACAGTTACATGATATACCCAGGTTAGTTCCAAAGCACTGCAATATGCATTTTCCTTCCTTCATCCTTGCTAGGAATGAAGTTGGCACTAGAGATTGCACGGGGAAGGGCTGTGAGAGAAGGCAGAAAGGCACTGCTACACTTCCAGAGCAAAGATCCAGCAATCCAGAACAAGGAAGTGGCAGCAAGGGCAGTGCTGGGTAGAAGGGCAAAGATGGACAGATGATGTCAGTTGTCCATCTGAACGTGATGAGCTGTCTCTCACAACCCCCCTCTTCCCCCTGTACAATTGCACCACCCAACTGAAATCACAGCTTTCAGAATGCTGATCTCACTGCACTACTTGTCTTCATTAAGCATTCGTTATACTATTCTCTCTGAACTGGAGCGGTCCCACACCTCGAATGTCTGTGAATTCTAATAAATGGAGTCAAACTAATCCCAAGGCTTCCCACACATTTTAAGTTTTCCCCGGCATGTTCCCAGAACAACTCTACTCTGGGAAGCCACTTCAGCTGAATCTTCTGCTGAGATTCCTAAAAATTACTTACAAACTCAGAACAGCTTTCCGCGGCTTATTATTATTTACCAACAAAACTAAACTTATTTTTTCATCTCTACTGTTATGAATGGCTTTGTTCTGTAATGATTAACAGAAAGAAGTTTTATCTTTTAAAAAAATGTTATTTCTTCTTACCAGCAAAGGAAGTCTTCCACATTAACTATTCTCTACTGAAAAAGTTGTTTTGCATGGTTTCTGGGAAGCTGGAGAGCTAATTATCTAACCAGGGGGACTGTCCAGGACAGTATTTGATTTAAAAGGCTTGAGGCTTTAGGTGCTCAATTAAGTAGCTATCGGTCTCAGACTGGACTTTAATGGGCTCTTTTCTCTTTAACTGCAGCAATGGGTAGAGATACCCCAGGTCAGGCTAATTAAAGCCAGGGGACTCTTTAATTGTGATGACAGAATTGGTTTCAGTTTCCTCTTTGGGTCCTCAGTCCAAGAAGGTCATTAATATTTCAACATTTGGGCAATGCAATCAATCACAAACATCAAGAGGTTCCCTTTACGGACAAGGCAGCTCTTCTACACTTAGCAGCATTTTACTGAGCCACCTTAAATTAACTACTGTGTGGTTCCAACACAGCATTCCCCACACTTCCAAATGCTTCTGTTTTGGTTTTTTTTTTTTTTTTTTGCTGGTGGGGTTTTTTTCAGAACTTTCTGTAGGAGAGTGGGAATGAAAGCAGCAAGAAATCTTCTCAACCCAGTTTCCCATCTTGCTGCTCAAAATTCAGCATCAGCAGAAACACGTCTCTAGCAACTTGTACTAACAAAGTGAGGTTCCACTGCTTTCCAAAACCGTGGAGACAGATTTAAGCACTCTTGATTCTTGCACGACATGGTGCACATTTGCGTCCACATACATATATCCAAGCCCTAGCAAAGAGAAATGCACATCCAGACCTACTGATCCAGAAGGAATCAGTGTTTTTGTACATTCCCAACATTTAATCTAAATTCTGCACCAGCTATATTAAATGTAACAAAGAAAGGCAACACAGAAATTATGCCTGAAGCCAAGTCCATTAAAGGTACTTCAGAATAACTAGAGACCAAGCACCTTAAAAGCACCAGAAGCTATTGATACTTAAAAGGGGGGCTGTGCATAATGGCAAGTGCTGCATTAGAGAAGAGGAAGAAAAAAAAAAGGGAAAAAAAAAACCAGCCAAATTACGCTTGGTTAATTCAGAGTAACAGATCTGCCCCCAAGTGAATTGGAGGCCTTGAATTAATTCTGTTATGACAAATCAAGATAAACGTTCCCCCTAAATTGCATGCGATTTAATTAATTTTTGAGATCCTGTTTTTTTTTTTTTTTCCTAGCTAATAGTTCACATGCTCCTGTGCTGTCATTGTGCTTGAGTGGGCAGACTTCAAAGTGATATTAAATAACCAACTATTAGATTTACCTAGCACGTCCTATTGGAAAAGTGCCATTTAATTACCTAGCCTGTTCAATTAAAGGGACAGCATTCCCTGAATATAGCAGCTTGCCGCTGATTACCAGGGAAATGAACTGGCTGCCCGGCGGCCCCCTCCCCGGAGCGGCCTCGCTGCGGCGCGCCCGGCTCCGGCCGCCCCCGCCCCGGGGCTGCGCCCCCGCCGCGCTGCGCGGAGCGGCCGCCCGGGGAGGGGCGCCGGGCGCTGCCCCTTTAAAAGGCGCCCGGGCAATCTTCCCCTCTCCCCCTTCCCCACCACTCCCTGCTCTCTCTTAGAGGCCAATTTTGTTAATTAAATGTTTTGTTTGCGACGCGGCTCTCATTCATTTCGGACACGTCATTCCGAGCAGATCTAAGCCAGCGACCAGATCTCATTAGATAAAACCCATCAGAACTAAGAGAAAATGGAGGAGACACTAATTAAAGCTTTTAATTGTGCGGATTCGCTGCCACGCTGCTGCTTTATCTGGCATCTCAAGGTTGGGAGGGCTGCGCTCCACTCCTCTCCCTGAGCGCGCAGCTCGCCGTGGGGAGGGAAGGGAACGGACCGAGGTTTTCACCTCCCTCTTTTCCCAGAAACCTTGGCCTTCAATGAAAGCTGCAGCTGTAGCTCTACGGCCAATTTGTTTTCGGGTTTTTGGGGGGGAGAAGGAGGGAAAGGGGAGTGTTGTGTTGTTTAAGCAACAACAAAAAACCCCGCATACAGCCTGAGACAGCTAAAAAGCTCATTAATAAATGGCCCTGTGGTCCTGGCCCGAAGGAGTCAAGTCCCTTTCACCTGGCGCCTGCCGGGCCGATCAATCCTCTCTCCCATTTTGCCAGTCATGTCCAGCGTGCCCCAGCTCCAGCCGAGAGCTGCACTGTGGCTCTGCCACCACAACAGCCCGCCGGAAAACTCAGAGGGGAGAAGGATGGCAGAGGGAACCGGAGAGGCTCGCTGGCAGCGGCACTGCCTCCACAGCCAAAGGGAACCACTTCACCCACCTGAAGGGCGAGGGCTTCGCTCGTGCCAGCGTGACCCACGAGCAAGCCTGCAAAGCCCATTTCCAGCGGGAAAGCTTCAAGTTAACTCAGCCCTGGCAGCGCCAGGCCATCCTACCCCACCTTGAGTGTACAGTGTCCAGTTCAAGTTTCAGCAAGCATCTGTCAGAGTTATTTTTGCAAGTCAAATTACACAGATCTAAAGAGAAGTCAGGCGACAGGACAAGGAGATCAATTGAAACCCCTCATCTGATAAAGCATCCTATTCATAATTGCCTACATTAAAATAAACGAGTATTAATTTTTGGCAACACAAAACCAGAGGACTGTGATAAGCTTGCCTGAACTTGCCTCTGGGACACAGTGGATGCATCTTCTCTTTTTAATTAGTAGCAATCAGACATGAGGGTTTGTTTGATGGTGTTGGCCGAGCGATGAATCTGTACTATTCAGTGCATCTTAACAGTAGTGTCAATTTTTCCACTTCAAACAAGACTCTTTCCCAAACACTGTTCTGCTCTATTTAATTACTATTGTGCCAGACTTGGGCTTGTTGCTTAGGACAATGACCAAAAAGCACCACTGTGCACCCACAATGTGCTGATTTTTCAGCATTTCCCTCTAAAAATCCCTCTGAAACTAGCAAAGCTAAGGCTTCGATTGCTCAGACACAGCACAGGACCTGTTCCATGCACTTCCCTACACAAAGCCACGGCCACGTACCAGGTCACAGACTGCACTATCAGAGCAACCAAATCCCAACTCCATCCTCTGAACTACAGAGGTCCCTGAGCTCAATCTGCATCTTCTCAAACCTAAGTTTTACAACATAACCAAACTTGTAACATTTGATGGCTGCTTTTGGTAGGTTTTTCTTTTCTTCAGAAAGGAAAAAAAGTGGAGCTTTTTGGCCATCAGAAAGAAGGGAAATCCTGGGTTAACTCTTGACATTTACTATTAATGAGGAGCCAGAAGCATTTAAACAGAACACAATTTGTTTTAACTAAGCATTTCTGTGATGCTGGGAAGGTATGGGGCTTTTTTGTTGTTTTTTTTAATTACTGAATGTTGAAACAGAACACCTCCTTGAAGCATTCATGTGCATCAGTCTATCAAACCATTTACTCAAATTAAATGTGTAATCCTCCAAAATGCCTCCTTTTAAATTAATGAGTTTAAGTAGCTTGAGTTCACCTGAAAAGATCGTACGGGCACCTGACCTCATGAATTCTATTAATTATATTGGAAACTTGTTGGAAGGGATACTCTGCATAATCTTACTGTACCCCAACAGATGTGAGATTAGCAAGGCTTAGTTCCCCCTACCCAAATCTGTGGCAGTTAAAGCAAACAGCTTCAAAAGAGGAAGAGATAAGAAATAAAGGGCAAGAGCATATACCTCCTCTGCTATCTCCTGCATTGTCTACACTGGAAGTTAAGAGAAATATCAGTTCAAAGCTTCTCTGTAACAATGCTGAGCCAAACATCATACCACTGGTTTTTGCTATAAGTAGAATCCATGGCCCTCCAACTGATGGTTAATCAGCTCTTTCACAAGGAGAACAGAGAATGAGTCATTCTGTTTCCACTCAAAGGAGTTTAAAGGTGCTTATGTAAATATCATAATTAATCAGATACTAAAGGCAGGCATTTCATTATTTAGCACCTCTGCCACAGCCTTATTTAAGCCCTACGATTTTAACATTTACTGTTCAGATATGCACACTTCTCCTTCAACACTACAACAAAGCAGATTAATTTAGCCTCTCTGATTGCTGTTTATTTTTAGTTAGGACTTGTTTTGTGCTGACAAACCACTTTAAAGTTACAGTCGTCGTTCAGCCCCCCCAACTCTTTCCTCCACTTGGCAGTCGCAACTTGCCCTGGGCTAGGCGCTAACATCCGCACCCGCACGTCTCTCCCTCCTAAGGAAGGAGCCATCCTGAGCCAGCCCAGCCCTCTACCCTGCAGACACCCACCACGAGAAATAAAGGGGGGGGGGGGGGGGAGAAAAATGGAAAAAAAGGCAGCAGGAAAGGGGAAAGCGGTCCTCACCAGCCTGGCCGTCGCCTCACCTGATGTAGTCGTTTCTGCAGAGAATCATGCCGCTCTTGGTGTAGCAGGAGGTGCCGATGTCCCCCAGCTGGGCCTGGCAGCAGGAGCACTTGAGGCAGCGGCTGTGCCAGTAGCTGTCCATGGCGTAGAGCAGGAAGCGGTCGGCGATCTTCCCCCCGCAGCCGGCGCACCTCTTCCAGGAGAGGGAGCCCGCCGTGACCGGGGGCGGCTGCGCGCTGCCGCCGGGGTTCACCATGGCCTGCGCGGAGAGAGGGGCGGGGGCGGGTCAGCGCCGGGACAGCACGGGCCGGGCCGGGCCGGGGCGCAGCGCGGAGCCAGCGCCGCTCCGGGGCCCGCAGGGCAGCGGCGGCCGGGCCGGGGCGCGGGGCGGGAGCGGCGGGCGCGGGGGGCAGAGCGAGCGCAACCCGCCGCCCCCCCGCCCCGGGCTTGTGCAGCTGCAGCTCACAAGTCAGGAACAGTCCCGGCGTTTGTTTTGCTTATGAAAAAAAGTGTGTGAAGAGTGGAGGGGGGAAAAAAAAGTTGTGAAACTGGTTTTTCAGTCTAGGAGAGGCTCCGCAGGCTCGGGGCGGTAACGAGGGGCTCCGGAGCGGCCCTCGAGGCCTTGGGATTTTATTTTCTGTGGTTTTATTTTAGAGAACTAAAAACACTCCGAGAAAACACTCCAGATTGAGGACACTGGCCCGAATAATAGATCATTGAACTTTAGGACGCCTGTTAACTTCCTACACAAACATACTCAACTTTTGTCTCGCTAATCTGCCCTTGATCAGCAGTTTAAATGCTAAAGCTTTGTTACCAAAAAAAAAAAAGGAAAAAAGAGAAAAAAGTTTACCGACCCTAAGAAAGTGGTCGAGTAATGAAGCGAATCGCTCCGGCTGCGGTTACTCTGGCCGCCCCCGAAACTGCTACTAAGGGCATTTTTCACTTTCTAATAAATGCTTTATGCAAGCAGGACAACCGAGAGATAATATAGGAATCAATTCATAAAGCTTACTCTAAACCGATTAATTTGTTGCCTTCAATCCAGGGTCCAATAAACTCCCGGTGTTCCTCTAGTCACTTATACTATAAAAAGATCAAGTTATTTACTGCCAATTAAGCAGCATGTTTTGTCTTTGTCCTTTGTAAGCCGTATGTGCTCATGCCGAGGCATCTGGCTATCTGCTAAGGACCTTCAGACTGATACGTCCAGAGCAGCGAGGACGAACTTTTCCTGACACTGGCCCAACTCGGCTGCAGGGGAGAACTGAGGCCGATTTAAACACATTTCCTCAGAAAGAGTACCTGGAGGTATGTCCAGTGACCGCACAATAAACCAGGAGAACTGCACCAATTAAGCTGTAACAAAAACCCCGAGACTTTGGAAAGAAAACCACTCTAAAAGCCATTAGCATTGCATTTATCCGAACGCATCGTGTACCTTTATGTAAATTGATTTCTGATGCATTTGTTCAAGGAATTGCCTTTTGTTACAGTTTCCAGCTACAGCCTAATGAATCTGCATTTCCTGCTCCGAGTCTTTAAACCGTTTTCCTATGCTTTAAATCACTTCGGATTTCTTAAAAGAAAGAAAAAGGCTCCATGCCACCACCTTAACCTGTCTTTGTCGAAGACAAATATGTATAAATATAAAATGGGAAACGTTACACTGAGAAAACCATCCAGTAACCCCATTAAGCTAAAGCTCTTAAGGACAAGCAATACCTTAATGCTGATTAAATCTAAAAAGATGAATCAAGAGGACTGACCAGAAAGTGACTCCCTTGATAACTAAGGACGGGCCCTCATCAAGTTTCATTTAGAGTTGGGGGGGGAAAGCTTTTAACTTAAATAGGCTTACTCTAGTAATTACAGAGCCAAGCAATTTTGGTCCTGGGATAGGAGTCAGTGAAATAGAAAGCAGAGCTAGAAGCTAGAGGCAAAATACCCCCCTTTTAACAGCGTCTCTGGTGCTTTTTTAATGGAGACCAAGGGAGGGACAAGCGGAGAGCTGGAAATTTGTAGTACAAAAATGGATGCTTAATTCATGTCTTGGTTTTAATTAGGTGATTCACCGATTTTCTCCTGGATTGAAACAAAAGACTGTGTGTGGGGCAGGAAGGGAACCGGAGAGGAGAAAAATAGAGAGCTCACTTTGATCTTTTCTGCCACTGTTTCAGAACAGTGTTTACTACAGGGGAAGCGGGTGCCCCAGCCTCCCCCACCCACCCCCCCGTCCCCTCCATTCACAGCCGAGGCAGGCAGAGCCCTTT